AACTCATCCGACCCACGTGCGACGACCCGACCACCTGGGAACAGCAACTGCCACTCATCGAGTTCGCATACAACAACTCGCCATCCGCCACGACCCAACAGTCACCATTTTACCTGAACTACGGACAAGACCCCACAGTACCCATGACCCCGAATCCCGACAATCATGTACCTCGCGCACAACAGTTCGCTGAAATCCTACAGGCAGCACGGACCTGGGCAGCCGACGCAATTAAAAAGGCCAACGTCATCGCTAAACGCAATGCCGACCGCCACCGCAGGCCTGTCACTTACCAGCCCGACGACCTAGTTTTACTCGACCCCAAAAATCTCCGCCTGCCCATCACCCCAAAGCTTCGCCCCCGATATTGCGGGCCATTTCGCATCAGCCACATGATCACACCCGTCACCGCCCACCTCCTCCTTCCCGCTGACTGGTACGTTAGCCCGTCCTTCCACGTCAGCTTACTCCGCCCCTACGTACCATCCACGAGCCACCTGCCCCGCAACCGCCCAGCAAGCATGACCCGACCACCCACCGAGCCCATCATCACACCCGAGAAGATTCTGAGCCACCGAGTTCGAGACCCACGTGGAGCTCGCAGGATCGAGTTCCTGATACGCTGGAAAGACCGCACGCCCACCGAAGACAATTGGGTACCCCTGGACAGAATCGAAAACCACCCCATCTTCACCGAGTATCTGAGCAGCCGCAATTTCCGAGATATACACGTACTCTCGTAAGGAGGGCCTCCTTATGGGGGGGGGTAGTGTAAGGAAATTTCTCTTACCTTACGCCGCAGCCCTGCGTAGCGCGTACATTATTATTCTCACCACACTCGGCACCGTTACCACTCGCGACCCTCGCTTCGACAATCTTCCCGCCACTTCGCACGTCGCAACCCAGCCTCCCGGCTCGGCTAGTAACCCGCGCTCCGGGCCTTCGCTTCGACACTTTCCCAACCTCAGTCCCGACCTCAGTCACAGGCCCGTCGTGCGTCAACCACAGTTCGTTACCGTTACCATTGTAGTTTCGCTATATATTATTCGCTCATGCCTTCGCTCATTGTACTCTTACTTCGATAGTGCAATTCTCGCTCGATCACTCAATTGCACTCATAACAGTGGGTCACGTTAGCAAGGAGGACATGAATGAAAGACCATGGTCAGCTTAGATATTAATATACAACCACCATATAAGAGTTATTGGATAATGCTCATGATTTTGTGAATGCGATATTATGGTTAGGAAACTCCATAACAGTCGGAGAATATTCGAAATATTACAGAACACAGGCCATCTGTGTTTTAATACGATATATACACCACATATCTTTCATGATATGAGCTCAAAAAGATCGTACAAATTTACTGTATATTAAATACGATATACGAGTGCATATCTATGGATTTTTCAGAGACTCTAAATATTTTTATAGAGCATACAATACGCCAACTGACAATATATTGTGATCTTAATCTCCTTCCCCTCTCTCCACCTTATTCCTAATCCTACCCTCCTAGTTCCTTCGCCATCTGTAATTTGTTACTAAACCGTTACACAACAGGCTACGCTTTCATCAGCCAGCTGATTCTGTAACGGTTATCAGTAACGCCACCTCAACGTTCATGTAGACAGAATGTCGAGGCGCAACTGTCTCAATGTACTTATCCGAGTCGCACATTCTCATCTCGTTTTGGCATAAAGCAGCGGCTCGATGCAAACTGCAAGAATGCCGCGACTCCTCAACTTCTCATTCGAATGTCCAAATTTCGCCCTGCTTTCGGCTGAACGTGTGAGTGAGCCTGCTCTGCTGTTGTCTGCTACTGCCGAGTCTGGCCCTACCCTCACCTTGTCCAAATTCCGACTGGTTGTTAATCTTTGCTGCCATCGTGTGACTGTGTTTGATACAGTGGTATTTTGGTCACCGGCGTGACAGGGGCAAGCGACAAACGAGACCGGTTTTCGGAGAACGAATCCTCGCAACTCGCTTCGATTGGTGAGAAATAGAATGGGAAGGCGGACAGATGGGTATGCATTCTGGCGAGCCCACCACAGGCGCATCACTTCGCAAGTCCAGAAAATGGAGCCAGGCAGAAATCTCAGGTCGTCTCAAGTGCGAGCATTACATCTCTCTAGAATCTTCGGTCCTTCCCGCGAGGATGTACAACTAAGTACCTCGCCGTACGTACTTCTGTGGATGTACTACTACTACACTCCGAGCCGCCTCTTTCTCACTCGGCGACGGTTGACCTGCGTGGTTCCCTTCCGTCGCCTCGTCTCGTCTCGCCTCGCCTCGCCTCGTTCCCTCTCGCGTGGTCATCCCTCCTGTACTGCTGCTACCAGCTCCCCGCCGACAGACCCAGCCACTGGCAGGCCAGCCGAAAGGAAACGGACGAACTCCGAATCGAAGGGAGACGCTGTTCTGAGCGTACCTTCCAGTGCGGGCCGAAGCGCAAACCTTCAGCAGGTCCGTAGTTAGTAGTAGTACAGTACAGTAGCCCCGACTTACAAAGGCAACCATCCCGCTCTCTCACCCACCCACCCACCCACCCACCCACCCACCCATCCACCCCCACTTTCTGCTTTTCAAACTTTAAAAGAGCAAACTCTTTTTTGCCCTGGGCCGATGCGAGGCCGCCGCGAGAGTGCGATGCCGCGAGAGTGCGATGCCGCGAGAGTGCGATGCCGCGAGAGTGCGATGCCGCGAGAGTCCACCCACCCACTGCAACTCACCTCACCACCACTCAATCCCGTCCTGCCACCACCAAACCCCGATCTGTTGCTTCAATGCGTCAATGCACGCACGCACGCAAGCAAGTAAGCACGCACGCTCCACTTCAAGTCAGAGGTGCTTCTCCTTCCCACCCTCCCCTCCCCTCCGAGGGGAGTCCCCACTAACCCTTTCCTCCTTTCCCATCCCCTCCTCTCTTTTCCTCTCGTTTCCGCTCCGCTCCTCTCCTCCCCTCCCCGTTCCCTCCAAGGGCTTGCCTACCCGGAAGTTGCTCGTCCAGTCCTTTGCCATTACCACCAGTAGTGCTCACAGCCTCTGACACAGAGGCCCGAGGCGACGACTGACTCGGTGGCCCCGCCCCCGTCACCCCTGTCACCCCTGTGCAAAGAAACAGTAGAAATTGCTCGAGGACTGCCCCCTGCCCCCTGCGAGGGTGTGCAAGTCTGACCCAAAACGGAGAACACGGAAAAGCGGACCCACCAACGCGCCTCCTCCATTCCCCCGCACCTTTCCGCCCTCCCTCCCACCCACCCCCCCTTTTCCCTCCTCCTCCCCGTCCCCTCTTCCCCCACCTTTTACCCGTTTGCAGCGAGCAGTGAGCAGCAGTGCGCGGGAGCGGTGAGCGTCTGAGCGGGACGGTTTGACCCGATCCGTTTCTCTTAACCGCACTTGCTGCCTGCATGCGTGCTGCACTGCCCCGGTGTCGCTCGTATTCATTACGGCCACCCACGGTCCCCTACCCCAAGTCCCCGACCGAACCGAACCCCCGGTAGCGCGCGAGGGAGACGATAAGATCCTCTCCTGTATTTGGTCTCTTCAAGAGAAGTTTTCACAACCGTCGCCCAGGGATGCCCAGTCGAGAAAGGAGAAGCATAAGATCCCCTCCCGCCGCTTCCTCACCTCCTCATTTCCCGTTTTCTTCTCGGGAGTTTCCTTCGCCTGTGCCTCGTCACAGCGCTTCCCTTTCGCTCTTCTCACGACCTGTCACGGAAACCCGACCTGCCTGCATCGCGTAGCGCTAGCACTAGACGTATAGGCTCTTAGAAAAGCTTCAACGAGTAGCTGCTTCGGCTTTCAGTGGAAACCTCAACTAGTAACTTCAACTGGTACTAGTACTGCCGCTGTGCACCTCCAACGGTATTAACGTTTAATCCCTGGAGGGCTCATTTACACTCAACGCTTTTGTCGTCCACGCCCGCTCTCCCCCTCCGCACGGCACTCTCCCCCTTCGCACGGCGCTTATCTCCACGTGAAACCTCCGTCACCTGCTGCCGCCAGTGCAATCTTCCTGTGCTGCGAAGCTCCAGGGCCGCACACCCCCAGGGTGACTTCGTCTCTACCACTCCCCACTTCCCCTTTCCTGGCGAGCGGCCAGTGGGAGAGGGAAGGAGCGCTTTCGAGAATGAAGCTCGCCCTCCTTGGAACGACAGTTTGCAATCGGGGCAGAAGCAGCAGCAGCAGCAGCAGCAGCAGCAGCAGCAGCAGCAGCAGCAGCAGCAGCGGCGGAAGCAGCAGCAGCAGCAGCATCGGCGGCGGCGGCGGCGGCGGTGGCAGTGGTGGCTTGAGTGACACGAAGCACAAGATTAAGAGTGGAAGCCAAAGCAGCAGCAGCAGCAGCAGCGACTCAGACATTGCCTTTGAGACTGCCGGGAATCACCTCCTGCCTCTCAAGTTCCAGTTCCACACTGGTAACCACACTTGTAACCAGGCTGCTAACGACGCTGGTAACGACGCTGGTAACCACACAGGGGCTTCTATTGGTCCCTGCCACCCGTTCTACCGCCACCTCGGCAGGAGCTGCCGTCCTGACGGCAGTCCCAGGCACTTGCACGCGCCCTGCTCTCTGCACCGCCCTGCCAGGGCCCATCCGACGGTCGCCATGCCTCCGCCACTTCATCTGGACAGCTCTCCCTGCGTCTCCCCACCCACTGCGCTTGCCTGGGATGGGCTTGGACCAGCAGCAACGACAGCAGAGGCAGCAGCAGCAGCAACGGAAGGAGTGGGAAGGCTGACGAGCAGCCCACGGCACGTGAAGAGACCCCGGGGGCGCAGCAGGCTGCAGTGTGCGGTGCTGCTGCCAGGGTTGAAGGATGCTCACGCTGCAGCGGACGTAGAGTGTTCGGCTGCTGCTCACTCCACTGTCAGCGCTGCTGCCGCTGTTGCTGCTACTGCTGGTGCTGCTGAAGGCGACATGGATTGGTCAAACAACACGACGACGAAGAAGCAGAAGAGAGAGGGTCCGACAGCTGGTTGTGGAGTGAGGCGCATGCTGCGGTTGAGTCTGCACGAAGGGGAGCACCGCGAGGAGGGCGGGGAGCTGCAGCTGCAGCCGCAACAGCAACAGCAAGAGCAACAGCAGGGCTCCAGCTCTGCCGGTTCTGGCTCCGCCTGCATTACTCTTGGCCCCACGCTGATGTACCAAGCTGTTCCTGCTGCAGGCAACGCTTCTGAGGGTGAGTGAGTCGCTGCTAGCAGTCAGCAGCTAGTAGTTGGTTAGCAGCTTGCGGGTTGCAAGTGTTCTGGTTCTTCTTATGACTCACAAGTGGTTGCCACCTCCTTCTCAGCTGCCATTTGCGCGCTCCCTTGCTTCTCCACTCTCTCTCTCCTTCTCTCCCTCCCTCACACCCTTGCTACCTCGCACTCACACTCTCCTCCCCCTTACCTTCTCCCTCTTTCTTCCTTTCTCCCCTTTCTCCACAGGAAACCAGTCCGAGCTCCCACCTTCAGCACCCTCCCAGCCCAGCCCACTGTCGCTTATACCTACTCACTTCCCTGCACCAGCACCAGCAGCAGCATCAGCACCAGCATCAGAACCAGTGGCACCAGCACCAGCACCAGCACCACCAGCACCCGCGGCACCAGCACCGGCAGCACAAGAAGCCACGGAGATAGAAGAGCCTCTCTACTCCCCTTCCAACCTGCAGTCCCCTCGCCGGCCGTTTGATCCCTTCGCTGCGCCGCTCACCTGCCCCAGCACGCCCCGCAAGCCCAGGCTCTCTGGTGGGTCGGCGTTGGTGCACCTGCGGGCGATGGAAGCTGGGACACCAGGCAGGCGTGTCATGCGCCGCCTGCTCTTCGATTGATACACAGATACACTATACTGCTCTTCTTCCAGTAAAGCTCGGGCTCACCCTCTTCCGTTAACGCTCTTCCTCTGGTGGTCGCGCACTGATGCTGTTCCTTCCACTACTACCGTACCTTCCACTGCTGTCTTCCGCTACCGCTGATGACCTTCCCATTCCACTGACTTAACCTGACCTCATCCATTAAATGACAAGCCCGGGTGACTTCTGCTCATGTCAGGAAGTTGACTCACTGTGTGACACCCCATGACTCTCGCATACGCCCTCCACTGACCTGCAGCCGATACAAAGCTTCTCGTTCTGTTACCCCTGCTTCTGATTCTGACCTTTCCCTCCTGCCGGCTGCCCTCCCCTGCTGCTGCCCCAAGCGGTTTGCTGCCAAGACCCCATCATTCATACCCTCATCATATAACCCTATCCCGCACCACCAACACCTGATTTACTGGTAACACTCCCAGCAGCAGCGAGTACTGTGCAGTGCACTGTATCGCACCTCATTCCAAGCATGAGCAGCAGTGTCTGTGCCACAAGTCGCGGCTGTTGCTTGTTGCTTGCTGCTGCAGTGCACTATCCTGAGCTCCCCTCATGCAGTGCAGTGCACTATCCTGTCGGCTCTCTCATTTCAGCTTTTCAACCACCTGCTGCCTGCAGCAGCCCTAACAACCCACCTATCCAAGTAAACTCCTGATGAGTACCGTATATTCCTGACTGACAACTGGTACTATATCCCCCCCCTCTTTTTCTGCTCTGGTGCTTCTGTACATGCAGGGGAGGGGTTTGATGTGTAGGGTTGTTTTTCTCCTGGATGTACACTGCACTGTATATATATTAATAACGTAAGCTTCCAGAAAAAAACATTGTTGTTAGGATTGATGGGATGTCAAATGAATTTAGGATTTTTTTTCTCTTTTCTACGGTAGGTGTGAAAAACATGTGAAAAAAAAAACACATTTCCACAGCCCAGGTTATACAATTCAGCTACATCCTTCAGTCGCAACTGCAAATTCAACCATCCATCACTTAAAGCTCAAGGCCCAAATTGCGGATCGCGCTGGGCAAGTTTAGTATAGTTGATCGACAGTTGTATTGCAGGTGTTCTTTTTTGCGAATTGGGGTTACGAGCTGTACGAAGCCAGCTGAATGGCCAGTAAAGTGAGAACAGTGTTCTTGGAGCAAGAGGGGAGGCAAAGTTGCAAGTGTAATATCCGTGCAATATGGGACTCACACAACCAAACGCCTGTGGCCCCTAGGGTATGCTGGGTCAGCGAAAAAAAAAAATGAGTGTGGCGAGAAGTTAGGCGAAACCAAAGCCCTCAACCCAACCAGCACCTCGACTTTCCTGTCCAGCTCCCTCACCACCCCCCAAAGCCCAACTTTAATAAAGTTGAACAATTTGGGCCTTGAGCTTTAAGAAATGAGGTCCATATCAGTATCAGAATTCATGGCCCCAAGCCGAATTTCCAACTAAACCTCCTCACTGCCATCATAACCACACACACTGCCTTTCTTCTGTCACCTTGTAAGGAATTTTCTCGCTATTCCTTACTGCGACCGTCAACACCGCGTACAGCAGCAGCCGTTGTTCGCCCGTTACTGCTAACGGGGCTTCGCCAACTTCGCGCGCACTGTTTCACCAAACCTCGCACTGCTGGAGCAGCCGAGTCGGCCTACGCTTCGGGACTAGCCCGAACCTCGCGCCAGCGTAGCACTAGCTAGCTCGCACGCACCGCGTTACCGTTGCATGTTTCGCTTATAAGTATTCGCTCATGCCTTCGCTCATACTTTGTACTCATTGAACACCTTAGTGCAATCCTCGCTACCTCGATTCATTGCACCCGTAACACTTGGTTATCAGAGCCACTTTCCTTTCGGACCGCGCATCTCCGCACCCCAGAAAATCAACTTTTGATTTCTTCGCTCGATGGGACTCACGCCCCTTAGCACCTAGGAGCCGCTGTCCTCGCGTTCTCTCGTAAATGCGTGCAGCCACGACTGCGCCTAGACTAAGCTGAGCCGACGCCCTTTGCTACGGCTGAACATATCGACGTCACCACACTCACGCAGGACCGCCTGAACGAGCTGCTGCGACAACTGCACTGACGGCGGAACGCACATCCTTGCAGAATGACGTCGCACGAGCACAACAAGCGCAATCACAAGCACCTGGCACTCCGGTACAACCCGCACCACAAGCATCGCCATCACTGGCCGCACCGCGAGCGCGGCCAGTGATGGCGTCGTCCGGCACGACGGAGACGACGACCACGGCACGACACACCCCGAAGCGACGAATGCGGCCAGGAGTCAACCCCGCGTCACGATTTCTGTGCCGGCCGGCGAATCAACACTACCGTCGCCGATGCCGCTGAAGCCGCAACGTCCGCCATGTTTTGACCCGAGTCAACGGGGTGGTCCTACCGTGGTTGTTCACGTTGAACGTGTTTTTCGACGCCAACTACGTCTCGGAGGATACGGCGAAGATTCGCTACGCCGTGTCGCTGCTGCGAAGACCCGCCATGGACTGGTGGCGCGTCATCGTCACGAAGCCGATGGACTGCGCGACTCTACCGACACGGGAAGGACAAACCGGACCCTGGGCGCCGTCGTATTTCGTGGAGGTGCCCCAATATCGCACGTGGGACGCGTGGTGAGCAGGTCTGCGCGCTCGATTTGAGCCAATCGTGGCTTCGATCGCGGCGCCTCAGAAGCTCCGCACTTGGCGCCAAATCGGTTCCGTCCAAGACTACACCAGCGGGTTTCTGGCGTTGTGCGAGCAGGTGGGCTACATGCACGAATCTGAGTGTATTGACCGCTACATCGGCGTCCGGAAGCATGACATCGCTCAGGAAATCCAGCTTCGCGGCGTCACTGATTTTCAGGAGATTCTCGCCATGGCGGAGAAACTCGAACTTCTTCTGCCAACCGAGACCGGGGTCCTACGGAAGCAACAGCAACTGGGGACATCGATCTCGTGGGACGAACGAGGGCGCTACGATACGTGCCGTCGCCGCGAATGCCGCTGCCGCACCGTTCAAAGGGCGCTGCTTCGCGTGCAATCGGCCGGGACACCGCAAGAGCGAATGCCCGGAAAATGCTAAGGGAAAGGGGGAAGCTGAGCAGCAGAAACAGACCAAGCAGCAGGGAAACGCTGGGAGTCAGTAGCAGACGAGCCCTCTACTAACAGGTCACGCCGCTCGCCCGACCCAACCGACCCTCACCGAGTGATTGTGCCGGTTCACGCAATCGACCACACCCGGCCGAATAAGGAGGGTACTACGGTGGACAGCCCCATACTGCTTAGTGGGAAAATTGGGACAGACTTAGTTAAAATATTCGTAGACGGGGGAGCCAGCCACAGCCTAATCAACACCGCCACAGCACGAAAACTGAGACTGCCACTGGACAGATGTTTACCTGAGATCGACGCAAGACTGGTTGACGGCACGCCACTGGCGATACGGGAACGCGTAGACCGGGTTCGGATTCGCTGCGGGGGTAACTTCACGTTAACCCTCGACGGAACCGACATTTTACTCGGTCGTGATTGGCTGCGACAACACAATCCGCGAATCGACTGGACGACGGGTGACTGTGCCGTGCGAGTGAACGGTAACAACACCGCCTTACCTCGCTGGGGTCTTCGTCGGTGCGTGTCAACGCAATCACGATCAAACGCGCCGTAGCGGCAGGAGCTGGCGTGTACGCGGTCGACATTCGGGAAGCCGAGGCAGCAGACGAAAGGGGGGATTTACAGAAACTGTTAGCCGACTTATTGGATGACTTGGCAGCACTCCTAAAGCAGTACAGTAGGATTTTCCCGGACGACCTGCCGACAGGACTGCCACCTCAGCGACCGCATGACCACAGGATAGAGTTAGAACCGGGGGCACAACCAACAGTACAGCGACAGTTCCGACTGACCCAACCCGAACTGGACGAACTGAGAAAGCAGCTGGATTACCTGCTCGAGAAGGAATTCATTCGCCCGAGTTCGTCACCCTTCGCAGCACCGATACTGTTCACACAAAAAAAGGACGGGAGTTTTCGCATGTGCATCGACTACCGCGCACTGGACAGGGTTACCATCAAATCCCGTTACCCCATCCCACGAGCCGACGAACTGATCGACCAACTGCGAACAGCCCGGGTTTTCTCGAAAATCGACCTTCGAGGAGGCTACCACCAGATCCGAGTCAACCCACCCGACTGCCCGAAAACAGCCTTCCGGACACGCTACGGATCCTTCGAATACACCATCATGCCCTTCGGACTGACCAACGCCCCCGCCACCTTTCAAATGACTATGAACGAAGCATTCCGCCCGCTTTTAGATAAGTGCGTCATCGTGTACCTCGACGACATACTGATTTACAGCCCAGACAGAGCACAGCACCTACAGGACATCGAAGCAGTTTTTAAAATACTGAGTGAGAACCGCCTAGTGACAAAAGCCTCTAAGTGTGAGTTTTTACAGGACAGACTGGAGTTTTTGGGACACATTATTTCAGCTGAAGGAGTGGAAATAGACCCGAAGAAGATCGCGACGATTCAAGCATGGCACGCGCCGACAAATTTGACTGAGTTGCTGAGCCTTTTGGGGTTCGTCAACTACGTGCGCCGGTTCGTCCCCGAATGGCGAAGTTGACTGCTCCGTTGACCGACCTGCTGAGGAAGGGGGTCGAGTACACGTGGGGGGAGAAAGAGCAAGCTGCCTTCTCGGCCCTCAAACAAATTTTGTGCTCACCGCCCGTGCTTCACATCGCAGATCCACACCGTCCGTTCGAGCTCGTCACCGACGCTAGCGACATCGCCGTGGGAGTAGTACTGTTGCAGGATTTCGGGAACGGCCTCCAGCCAATCGCGTACGAGTCCCGCAAGCTTCACCCGCCCGAACGCAACTACCCGATACACGACCGCGAGATGTTGGCGATCGTGCACGCGTTCAAGGTGTGGCGATGTTACCTCACGGGAGCAGACGTGACAGTACGGACAGACCACCG